TTTGACAGTGATAAGGAGTTGTGTGAATTTTATGATGAATAAAACTTGAGTTCAATAACGTTATGTAATACATTTTTTTTCAAATTTCGGGCCCCCAAATTAAGGTGCATCTTATACATGGGGACATACAGTAAATAAAATCTTCCTAACTAAGCTCAATTATCTCGGGGTGTTCAGGGAGATTTCAGAAATGACTTTTTTGACTAGAGGTTTTCCTGTGGCCTAAATGTCGTAAAAGACAGATTTCAAATAGTTGAGATCTAAATGCCTATGCTTATATATTAAATTTTGTGACATTCAAAGTTTTCAGTGATTTAGTTTCAACCCATTTTTCTGGCTTTTTGTAATATGTCCCTCTATAAAATCTCTGTTTCAGCCCATACATATTATATATTGCCTCTTAACTGGATCTGGAGGGCTTTCTTCCTGGTGCCTTTCCTTGAGTGTTCTCTCTACCTGCACTGTGTTACACACTTTCTTCTGCTTATGGAATTCTGATTTGTGCTTTAAAACCTGCTCATTATCCAGCCTTATCTGTGAGGCTTTCCTGACCTTAGGCAAAAATGTTTTCTTTTTTTTTGACCTGCTATGACAGGGGCAGGATTTGTAGAAACGGAATAGCAAATAAGAAAGAATTAGGAAATTCAACTTATATACTTGGTCTTATGAATTATATGACCTTAAATATACACTTAATGTCTTAGAGTAAATAATAATTATTCAACTTAACATACAGTTCTATTTTGAGCTTCAAAAGAGATGCTGTACTTTGAATTTATAACATGAAAATAAAATCTTTGAAAATTTTAAAGTGTCACAAATAAAAGGCTCTATTTTATAACCAATAATTTGCTTAAAGTCATTTTTTTTGTGATTTTATATTTACCTCACAGAGAAATGGAGACGAATGTAGTACCCACCTCTGAGTAGTAAGTGAGATACTGCAGGTGAAGTGCTTAGCACAGAATCTGGCATTCAGGAGGGGCCCAATGCCTATCACAGTACTTTTCATTGACTGCTTTTAGATTCATGCTGACCCACAATTCACTTATGTCCAACTTTTATCAGTCTTTTTTATCTCCGTGTTTTGATAGTGACTGCTCTGTCGGCTATGTCTTCAAATTCACTGATCTCTTTTTCTACCATGCCTACTCTGCTTTAATCCCATCCAGTGTATTTTTAATTTTAGGTATTTTATTTGTGCATCTCTAGAAATTTCATTTATTGTTTAGGTATTTTTCATTTCTTTCCTCATTGTATTCATGTGTCCCTTCACATTCTAGAACATGTGGAACATATTCAGATATGTTTTAACATCCTTGTCTGCTACTTCCACCATCTTGTTCATTTCTGTGTCCATTTCTATTGATTGACTTTTATCCTATGTGTGGATCATATTTTGCTGCTTCTTCCCATACCTGGTAATATTCAGTTGTTAGATGTTGCAAATTTAACATTGTTGAGAACTCAATGCTGTATTATTTTAAATACTGTTGGATTTTCTTTGGGGCCACAGTTATGTTACTTGGAATCAGTTTGGTCCTTTTCAGTTTTGATGATAAGCTCCAATAGGTTATGGCCAGATAAATCTTATTCTAGGGTTTATTCTAGGGTTTATCTAGCCCCACTCGTAGGGCTTCTGAGCATTCTACATGAGGCCCTGCTATTACAAAGCATTTACGCACTTGCTGGTGGGAAAACAAACTCTTCCTGGTTTGTGAGAGCCCTGGAGATTTTTCGACTTACTGCTTTCTGGTGGTTCTTTGCCCATCCTTGGTTAGTGTCCACTCATGTAGTACTCAGCTCAGGAGTCCAATGGCCCTTCTACAGATTTCCTGAGCTTGCTTACTGTCTCTCCCCATCTCTCTCTCTCTCTCTCTCTCTCTCTCTCTCTCTCTCTCAGTGACTCCTTACTCTCTGGTACTCTGCTCTCCCTAAATTGATTTCCCTAAATGTGGATTCTGTCTCCTCCACTCAGCGAGGCTTGTTTAGGTCCCCCAGCCCTGCTCTGCTGACTGGAAACTACCACTAGGCAGTAAATTGCAGTCATCACAGTCTTGGCTTGTTTGTTTCCTTTTCTCTCTGGGCACAGTCCTGAGCTGCCTGCTGTCCAATATCTGAGAGCTGTTATTTAATATATTTTGTCTAGATTTCTAGTTGTGTAAGTGAAAGAGTAAGTTCAGTTTTTCATATCCCATTATGGCCTGAAGCAGAAATTCTTATTGCAGTGTTTTATACAAAATAATACTAACAAATATTTATGATATTACTATTTTACTTTAGTAACTGGTGGTGAAAACAAGACTAGTTGAATGTCTGAATTATTGATTTGGTGGTGCTATCTCATCCTTAGCCTAAATTATTTGGCTTAAATTTCCTGTGGGTGAGACAGATGCAAGAACACCTGAAAAGAAAACTGGAGATGAAGATATGGAGGAGAAACTAGAAAGACATTTGTTCAGAAGTGAGTCAGAGAAGAAAACATTCAGATAGATAAANCAAGTTCTGACGGTGGAGGGGAGAGAGGCCCCTACTTGCCAGCGATGAGTGGGTTACGCAGGACCACAATGACTGAGTCCCCTCGCAGGAACATCTTAGAGATGTAGCGGTCCTTGTTGACTGGCTTGGACTTCTTCTTGCCCTTGCCACTCTTGGGGACCTCGGTCCACATCTCCTTCACATTCTCCAGTACCATGTTGCAGTGCCTGTCAAAGGCTTTCACACGATCCAGGAGCTTCTTGTTGTTGCGACAGTTGATGAGCACCTGGGTGTTGTTCTTGACCGACTGCGTGAGCACAGAGAGTGGGCCCGTGTTAAACTCCTCCTCCTCCCGCTTCTGCAGCTCCTCCGGGGTCATCTCACTCTTGGGCTTGTTGAGAAGGCTCATGGTGGCAGTGGCTGCGTTTTCTAGTCAGCCCCATCTCCTCCGCGCTTCCTCGGCTTCAGAAAAGAGAGGAGAGCTCAAACTCTTGAGCGAGCTCTTAACCAAATGAGCCACTCGGCCGGCCCCCTCTTGCCACTTTTTGAAGCAGCTCTGTAAGTCCTCTTTCATGAGCGTCTTTAGATGTGCTGTCATGGCTGACTTGGTGTCCTGAATCAATTCAAAACGTTTACTTTTCATGGTCATTTTGACTTTGGGGAAGAGCCAGAAGTCACACAGTGCCAGATCCAGTGAATAAGGTGAATGATGACACACCTTAATGTTTTTATTTGACAGAAATTGCCAGAAGTGATGTGTGACATAGAGTATTGTCATGATGGGGGATGATTTACAGCACACTTTAAAACACACCTTCTCTCAATCATAGCTCACACTCAACTGACTGCACTGAACAAGTTGAAGCTTGTCACACACTGTTACTAAGATTTGACACACCACTTCCCGTATGGAAGATCCTTGCCTTTGTGTTGGATAGCACTCGTCAGCAGCATTCACATAGATTTTTATCACACTTCATATATGTTATTATAAATCTCATAAAAACTTTGGTTTTCAATCACAGAAATGTAGTGGGTTAAAAGGTGACCATGGGAGTTCTTTTTTTAGTATGGCCAAATAGCTCCTAAAAAAACAACTAAGCAGCAGATAATAAGTATAAAGTCTGTACAAAATATTTAGAAAAATAAATTTAAAAAAAACATAACACCTACCTGAAGCACTAGAGGGTGAACTAGATCTAGGCAGAACTGGAGAGAAGTTGAGATTTGGATGAAAAGAAGAGAGCTTGAGAATTTCATATTTTTACCACATTTAGCAAAATCATAGGCCCTCTAGTCTGCACCATGTGGGTTGGCTAAAACCCTGGTGGAAGTGAGAAGGTCATACTAGCTAGAAGAATTAGAGGACAGTGCCAATGCAGCACAGCCACTAGAAAGGGAAGATGCAAATCCTTGAAAAGAGGACACCAGAAAAAGGATTCTCAAATTAGTGTAAGAGCTGAATTTCTAATGAACCTTTGAACCACACGTGTGCAGGGCAGACTTCAAGCTGACAACTAAGTCAGAGAATATAGTTTTGTTTATTAAAGTAACATGTGGCTTTAAAAATTACTCTTTGGCAGAACCTATCTTAATTCAAATTTTCTGTAACACAGAATTCACAGTGTCCAAGACAACTTTCAAAATGACATATTGTAGAAAGAAACAAGAAAATATGACCCATTCTTAAGAAAAAAACAATCAGTGCAATAGAGACAAACACCAGATGACACAAATATTAGACTTATACAGAAAAAAAATTAAAACACCATTATAACTGCTGAGGAAGATGGACTGATAGATTAATAGAGGAATGGCAAGATAGACAGGTATACAACAAACTGGTTATGGTAAAAAAGGTTAACTATAAAATCAAGACTATGTTCACTTCAAGTTTTTCAACTTTTATGCATGTTTACAATGTTTTCATAATAAAAAGATGAAATGAATAAATGTTTTATAAGAATGAAAAGTATGATAACCCTGAAGAGGAATATTTGTCTATATTATTGGAATAAAGTATATTTTACTAAATTTGCCATGTGCATATAAATGTCTCTGCTCAATTGGCCTAGTAATTCTACCTAATAACATTGAAAAGGATATATGAATATAATAACTAAATTTATGTGCATATGTGAACAATTGACTAATGTCAAGAAAAACAAGAGCTGTGTGGTAAAGTGAATGTGTACAAGCTTTGACAGTTAAACATTTTTGTTTTCTACAGCTGTTAGTCTTTTCCCAACTGACATTGTTCAAGTCAATTTTCTCTGAGGTTATATTTCTTTAATTTACAAAATGTAGTTCATTTTATATATCTGCTAGGACTATTGTAGGATCAAATGAGAGAATGCATTTTGAAAACACTATATAAACTTAGAAGCATGCCAAAATATTATCATTATATAAGAAGTGAAAAAAATATATATTTGGCCTATCTCAAGGGGTCTCAAAGTCAATAACTTATTGCATACTCTTGTATCATTCCCTTTGATTCCTTATTAGTAATAACAAATTCTTAGTCATTATGGGAATAAAATGAGATAATGTTTATGAGCACACTTCACAAATTATATAGTGCTAAAATAATGTGTTGTTAACAAATAGCTATCATTAAGTTTCTTATTCTTTGCTTTGATTAATATATTTTGATCAATACTTAAAATAAAAATCATATATACAAATTATACATATATAACTATATACTTATATATCATATATAATTATATATACATATGTATAATTTTGGTTATATGCTATTAAATAATTATCAAAATTTCTCTGTTTATACCTAAATATATATAGTTAGATGCAGATATATATATATATATATATATATATATATATATATATTCTTTCTAATGGATTGTCTTATTTATGTAAGTACATTTTCTTCTAAGGTTAGCTTTTACTAATATAAAACTGCTTTGAATTCTCCATACTACATCTTACTCAGGTAATGAAGTGACTACATGTAATCTACAAGAAAAAAAATGTTTATAATGTATATTACATTATGTCATATATATAAAATAGTAGTCCACCCTTATCAGTGGTTTTTCTTGTCACAATTGCAATTATTTGCTGTGAACCACAGTCTGAAAATATTAAGAAAACATTCTAGAATAAACAATTCATAAGTTAATTGCATGCTGTTCTGCGTAGTGTCAATTACTCCTGACAGTATAGTCATTCCTTTCTTTGCTTGCTGGTCTGCTGGAATGAAAAGACTAAAATAAACAGGTAATGGCGTTAATATTCTATGGAACAAATAGTGTTTCCTTAAGCAGAAGCATTCTTTCCATCACAAGGAATCAGGAGTTTGAATCTAACAGAACCTGAAGAGTAGGAGACAGAAAGCAGAGATCACTGGGACTGATCACTAGGAACATTTCATCTCTTGGTTCCTGGACCTACATAGTCTAGCATTTGGAGATAGGACATCATATATGAGTTGTTTCAATATCTTTGCTTTGTTTAGTCAAAGCCATAATCAAGCCATCCCACCATTGTTAAGACCAGCTTCGGGTGTCCACATGAGACCAACAAATCCTAAGACGTGGGTGAGTGCCACCAGCTCAAAAAATTATCCCAACAGAGGCTGATGTTCTGCACTATCTTCTTGGTCTGACACCTTAAAAATCATTCCCACATATTTCTTTCTCTTCTGCTGATACATAATAGCCAGGTCCTACAATTTATTTGATGTGCAATCATTTTAATA